AATAGCTGCAATTTCTTGTATAACTGCAAGCCCGCATGGCACAAGTGTTAGGTGAGTTTTTTCAAAACTGAAAACCTGTGATGTTGTGGATAACACTAATTCTATAATTGAGGGTTTAGAGTGATGTTGAGCCTCACCTGTACTTACTGTTTGTGGGGTTTTATTTATGAAGTACCAGTCAGTAACAGGACAGAAACATCTCATTATTGCTTATAATGTTCTCAGTTTTTTTGCACGTGCTTTGCAACGTTCTAGATCTGGTCCTGGCTTTTAGTTCAGTCTCTAACAGCAAGAAGTAAATTCTTATGCAGTCAGAATTTTAGTTAAAAGTTCAAGTGTTTATGAAGTGAAGATGGTGACTTTTTTGATGTCGCCACATCCTGGTGTAAACCTTTATATGTAACACCTGTGTAGAGCCTGACATCTTCTTGCTTCAAGAAAGAGTGTTCTATTAGATGCCATACTTACCTGACAACACTGAAAGAAGTATTTATTTTTGACTGACTTCTTTATTTTCTCATCATGATTTCCTTCTGTGGGAGGTAATGCCATGAATTTGACAGAAGTTGTATGTAAACTTGGCCTGAAGGTGTCAAAATGGCAAAACCCACTTCTATTTTTTTTTGTGCAGAGGATTTTTTTGCAGGCTTTGAGCCACTTTTCAGGCTTTCTAGAAGTGTCTGATTTCTGCTCTATCCCCACCTCCACCCTGGGAAAGTGGAGGAAGGGCTGGGGGAGGGTGTCCCCCTTCCTAAAGCTTTGTCTGCCAGGACAGACAAAGGACTGTCTAAGGACATGGTAAGTCCTTGAGCTCCTTGCAAGGTGATTCTGCCTATGGAAAGATAAGATGCTCTAAGGTGTCTGTGGCAAGTGGGGTGCTTGTCCCTTATCAAAGTGACAAGGTCAGAAGAGACTGAACAAAATGGTCTTTGCAAAATAGTGGCTAAATCCAAAATAAGCTTTCCAGCTTTCCAAAATAGTGTCACACATTGTGCTGCTATGGGATGTGTTAAGAGAATTGATGGTTTGGGTTTTGGTTTTTGTTTAAACCTCGAGATTTTTACACATGTTTATGGCATTGTCATTAAATCTAACGGTTTCCTGTGTAAGCCTTCTGCTGGGAGACCAAATCTGTGAAACTTCGGGTGTCAGAGAGGGGCAGAAATGCCGTGGGAATTGCTTGGTAAGGTTCAGTGCTGAGGCACACTCCGAGCTCCTGCTCAAGTTAGCCAGGGATGGGAGGGGAGGAAGGCAGTGTTCTGTGTGGCTGCTGCCTCCAGGATACACAGCTTTTCTCATCTCAAGTGTATCCTGACTGGTTCAGGTCTTTTCTCGGCTATCTCTGCTCACATGGAAGTCTGGGACACACCCTTAGATGTACCCAGAGGCAAAGCCAGGGAGACACAACAGAGCCGTGGGAAGGGGTGACTTTGGAGATTCGATGGGTGAGAGGAGGGAAGCTCTGCACAGGAGGCTTCACTAGGAAAGGTGCAGGCCTATGTAAGGAAGACAGGCCAAAAACTGTTTTTCTTGTTGCAACAGGCAGAAAACTGCACGCAGGAGTGAACTTTAGGGGAAAACGGGCGTGTTTGCATGTAATAAAAAAAAATAGCCTGAGAAGCCTCCACAGGGCTGGGAGGGGAGTGGCCAGGTAGTTTTATCTGTGTTTCAGCCCTAAAACTGCCAAGCAGAGAAGGAATGAGCTGGGAGTAGTGGTTAGGGAAAACAAGGAAGCCTGGTTAGCTGGAGCAGGGAAATCAGTAGTGTAGTAGTGCCAGGACATGCTGTTACTGGAAAATCACTGCCACAAACTTTTCCAAAACAACAAGTGAGCAGTATCCCTTTAACTTCACGTTTTGATCAGATAGAGAAAAAAAACACCCCAACCCTGTCTTCTGAGCTCTTTTTGCTGTACTTGTCACTATAGAAACATACTACTTACCTGTCTGATAAGCACACAAACCCATTCTTTTTTTGTGTGTGAAACCAGACAAAATGGATTATGTTCAGGAGTAGTGTTGTTCTTTCCCTGCTAAATTTCTTTCTCAACACAGGATAGAGCTACTTGGAAACACACAGTATTGCTCAACTCCTGTGACAAAAAAGGTTTGTTAGATGGGGAATCCCCTTGGATTACCAAACAAAAACCCAACAATTAGGTTATCTGGGGATCTGCTTCCCCAGCCAAGGTTGGGGGGCTTGCACCCCTTTCCCAGGAAGGAAAAACACAGCTCTTAAACCATCCAAGCATGGCTGCCCATCCTGCTGGCATAGCATGGGTGAGCAGGGAGGTGTCAGTGCTTCAGCCTCTAGTGTGCCACACTGGCCAGGGTGCTGCCAAGTGCCCGTGGAGCTGTGCTTTTCTCTTCCTCAGAGGCTGGTGTTGCTGTGTCCTCATTTCTCCCTTGTTTTGATGGAAACTTGAAGCTTCAAGTTTCTTGCCTTCTGCTTTAAAATTGCCTTTTTTTAGTTCAGTGGTCATTGTGGGTAGGAAGAACACAAACTGAGAACATAAGTCTGCTTTCCTTAAGAAACTGAGACAAAAAGTCTCTTATTCTTGTATGAAGGAGATGCATTTTATTTCTAATCCACCATGCAGAGAATTGTCACTTTAATTGTGCCACTTTTTTTAGTGCTGTTCAGCAGTTCACTGGCATGAGGCATTATCACTGTTCTGTGATCCTGTAAGGCTCTTGTCTCCCTGGCATCTTAACCTTTCCCACAGAGTGACTGCTTTTCTGACAAGAAAACATGCCATGTAGCTCAGCATGGTGGTGGGGAATGGTTAAATTTGTGTTTTGAGAGGAGCTATATTAGGTACATCATCTCTGCCTAATGTGAACAGACCAGTTTGTTTCTGGAGGGCATTAACTGAGCCTTCTCCTTTGCTTGGAATTTTAAGATTCTGTGTGGTGACAGTATGGCTTAAGAGTTTCTTTAGGTTTACAGTCCTTTTCTGTGCCCTGCTCCATTTGCAGAGCTTTCTACTCAAACACTGGAGTTAGTCAAGCTGTAAATAAGGTTGGTAGATGAGAAGAGCTGGGTGTTCAGACTTGTGGCTTCACAATTGTGAGTTCTTGGCAAAACCAGCAGAGTCTGTAGGCTTCTTCTACTGATTGGGATCTGGATCAGCTCTAAAAGCTGAAGATTATTGGATGACCCAGGAAAGGGTGTCTCAAGCAGAGTGTTATTAAATACTGGGTGACTTAACAGTGGTCTCAAAGCAGAGTTCTTTCCATCACTAAGCCTTCCTGATGTTTGAACTGAGGCACTGGGATGAGATCCTTGAGGTAGCAAAGGCTTTAAGTGATGCTGCAGCCAGGAGAGCAGGTAGAGCAGCAATGCTTCTCTCTGTCAGCTCCCCTTTGCACCTCTCCCTCCCCTCAGGGTGCAGCTGTGGCACAAGAAGTTGGACTAATGATGCTGTTGTGACAGTCCGTGCTGTACCAAGGTGCTCCAGCATAACTTAATCACCTTGTCAGGGTAGCCCTAGCAAGGCAAGCAGGAGGTGTGTGCAGGTGTGCCTTAGGAGTAAGCACCAGAAATGCCAACAAAGGCCTTTTGCTTAGGTCTGGAAAGTTGCAGGTGGGTTTGGCTCCTGGGGCTGTGTCACTTGATCTGTTTCCCCAGCCTACAACCCTGCAGCTCCTTCTTGAGGCAGGCCTGGCCGTTGGGTTCCTGCTTTACAAGAAAAGCTGGTTTAGGAAAGCTGGGGCTGTCTGTGAGCAGGAGCTCCTCCACGGCAGGGAGAAGGGGCTCTCAGGCTCCCACCTTTCAGGTGGGCTGGTGTGGAAGGGGTGCATCCTTGGGTGCTTTCCAGGGGAATGCTACCCATATTGCCACTGAAAATTGCCATTCTTAAACACTTCCCAGTTTCTTACAGGCAAATCAGGAATGTTGTTTCCTTCTACAGTGACCTTATCAGAGATCAGGCTTTTTGGGATTTTATTTTTCTTTTCATGTGTCCTTTGCCTGACCAAAGCACCAGACTTTATAAACTTATCGCTCATTTTTAAGTTTAAATTTTTAATGTCTGCTGCAGTGTTTGGGATTTCTGTCCTCATCTCACTTTTGTAGAGCTATTTTTAATAGCTAAATGGTCTTCAAAGGAAGAGCTGAGACACATGCTCCAGCTTTCTACTTTCTCCTGGTTTCTTCATTTCTCTTACATACAAGAAAAGCCCTTTTCTTTTTTTTCTTTTTAAAGGAGGATTCAGTCTGTTCAAAGCTATTTCTGTTTCTATTGGCCTTACCAGAGTGCAATTCCCTCTTTCTTGCAACAATTTGTTTTTTATTGTTTTTGCCAGGTGTTCCATCCAGAGGCTAATTTATACACAAAGTGACTTGCTGCAAACATTGGCACCAATGTTAAGAGGAACCTGGAGGCACACAGGCAGAGATGATAATGAAATAAAACTAAATATTACCTAAAATTCAATTGTATGGCTCCAGATGAGTAATATTGCGACTTTGGCAGCTGGTACTTTCTTATTCCTGTCAGTGTGGTCACTTAATGGGTTGGTTTTATCTTCTTTTGCAAGAAGAGCACTCTTCCTGAACTCCCTTCCATGGTACACTGAACTCTCACCAGTCTGTTCAGTGCACTAAAACTTCCAGCTGGCCTTAAAAGGCACTTTTCCTTGCAATACACTTGATCTTAAGTGTGCAGCTTTAAGGTCACTAAGCCATGCAATGTCTGCAGCCACCCAGAATAAAACAATGTGTGGAAGGATGAGTGGAAATACTGACACCTGGCTAAACCTTGGATATTTTCAGGAAGGAACAAGAATGGCTTTGTTCTCCTGTGGCATTGGAGTTTATATTATGTAAATGCAGCTGTCAACAAGGTGCCTCATGTCTGGAACTTGGTTTGTGTGTTGGTATCCCCATCTTTTTATGCTTGTCCTTTGTCACCACCTTTTTAAATAACAGCTGTATCCTGTGTTTGCTTCTGATTTTGTTACTAATGCAAGGCTGGGTGGATTAGTTGGTATCATCTAACAAGTCTTCCTTGTTCCTATAGCTTGCAGGGACAGCAGTGCTTGCAATTGGACTATGGCTTCACTTTGATTCACAGACCAAAAGTATCCTTGAACTGGAATCTGACACAAAGTTTTACACAGGTGAGTTGGGGGATCATTCAGGAGATGGGTCACGCTTCTGTGCCCTGATTTCCAGGCTGCTGAGAAACCTTGGCCTTCCTTAAAGGGTAAAAAGGCGAAACAGCCCTAAAGAGCCCAAGAGTAGCTTTCCCTGGCTGGTGCTGGGGGCAGCTTTGCTTGTGAGCACTTCTGCAGACAGCAGTGCTGTTTTGTGAGTGGTTTCTTGGCTCTTCATCCTTTTTCCCACAGTGTCAGTAAACATTTTGTATTCCCAGAGGGTCCTGGAAGACACAGAGGATGTTTCTTCCTGATGCTCATGACCATATGCGTCAGCAAAGTTTCACATATAAGCTAATTAAGTAATTAATTTTTTCTCCAGAGTGACCAACTTGAGCTACCCAAAACACAGCTGTTGCCCCTTCTCCTCTGCTATCAGGAAATGCTGAGGGAATTGGGATTGGTCAGCCTGGGGACCAGCAGGCTTTGGGGTGACCTCATTGTGGCCTTGCAGTATCTGAAGGGAGCCCACAGAAAAGATGGGGAGAGACTCTTGACAAGAGCCTGGAGTGACAGGACAAGGGGCAATGGCTTCACACTGGCTGAGAGTACGTTTAGATTGAATATCAGGAAGAAATTCTTCCATGTGAGGGTGGTGAGGCCCTGGCACAGGTTGCCCAGAGAAGCTGTGGCTGCCCCATCCTTGGCAGTGTTCCAGGTCAGGTTGGATGGGGCTCTGAGCAGCCTGGGCTAGTGGAAGGTGTCCGTGCCTACAACAGGAGTTTGGAATCGGGCAATCTTTAAAGGATGGCTTCATCTTTCTTTTGCCAAAAAAATGGTTCCTGTCCTCGCCTACTCACCTGTGACAACTCCCAGACTGGTGTCTGAAGGATCACTTGTAAGGAAGTGCAACTTGTTTTGGAGCCTCTTAGTCCAAGGGGACCTGTGCCTACAGGGAATACTGTTAGGAACGGTGTGGAGGCTGTAGTTGGGAATATTTGAGGTGCTTGTGGGACTTCATGAAGAAGCTGCAGGCATGCAGACAGGTTATCTGTGATAAAATTTGTGGTTTTCCCTTTTTATGATGGCATCAGCAAACTGGGTGGTTCTCAGAGCTGCCAGGAAGATTACCAGATGCTTTTAAGTGGACCTCAGAAAAAGACCAGAAATCTAATCTTTACTGTTGAGCTGAATATTTAACAAGTCTAATTCTGGGTAGTCTAAAACAACTCTTTCACCTCCTAAAACAAATTTTTTATGGTGTGATTTTTAAGCTACTGACTGGATGTAGCCAGTGAAACCTGCTTGAAATCTCTGTAGGTCAAACTGATTTTTAAAAAAGCTCATTAGGAATTTCTGGTTTAACATAATTTTCTGGAAGTAGTTACTGACTGCAGTAAGTTACAAAGCAGGTTACCTCAAAGGCTTTCTGTACAACTCAAACTAAGAGGTACTGAGGGATTCATTTTATTCTACTTTTTCAAACTGGAAGAAGATTTTTAGCTGAGGTTAAAATGTCAGGTTTAATCCCGTACAAATAAGATAAAAAATGTCAGGCTTAATCCCTTACAAATGCTGTATCAAATAGATGTTTATTTTGGCAGCTAATCTTATTGGTTTGCATCTAGAATATATAATTTGTAAATGCTTACATCTGGTTTCCTTTAATTAATATTGATTTGATCTCTGAACTCTATTTTTTCCCTATGGTAGAGATGTCCTGCTTGCTCCATGTGCTTTGTGCTGATTCTTTGATGTTTCACCACCCCTGTAATAGTCTTTGCCATCCTTTGGGAGCTTTCTTGCTCAGCACATCTTGCTGCTGTCTCCAGCTCACAGCTATGATGATTAGGCTGGTTGTTCCCAAGTTTAGGAGGCAGAGGATTTGACATGAATAGAGCCTTTTACCTCAAATATTTGCTCTTCCTGCTTCAACATACTCACTACGTAATTTCTGGGCAGAACAGTTTACAAGCTCTGACACTGTTTATAATTTGAAGAAGTATCTGCTTCAAGACTTTGCAGCTGTTGATAAATCACTATTCCAGTTGTCTCTACCTGAGAAGTTGATAACTCTTGTCTCTGAGCCTGTTCTGAAAAGTGTCTTACAGCTTGTCTTAGATGGCTTTATCTTGTCCATTTTCTAAAACTTGTGAAACTGCAGTAGGCGTATACATTGTGTCATATTGAAAGTTTTATTTATCAATTTTTCAAATGTGCTTGCTTTGAAAATTAAGAACAATACCCCCCTTATTTTTTTTTACTTGAAACACCTTAGTAAAGAAACTTAAGCCTTGGCAAAAGCTACCAGTGCTATTTGTGGAGCAATTAATTTCATATCTTGCTGTTGAGGTTTCACTGACCTGCACACCTTTGTTTTCCTCCTCTCTAGGTGTTTACATCCTTATTGGAGCTGGTGCCCTTATGATGCTGGTTGGTTTCTTGGGATGCTGTGGTGCATCACAGGAATCTCAGTGTATGCTTGGCCTGGTAAGTGCTCAGGATAATGCTTAAATTTTTGAGCAGCATGATGAGAACGGAGAGAAAGTATTACTGAGTAATTCAAGGGCAACAGGTTGCAGACCCCAGAACAATCAGTGTTTAAACTCATGGTCACCTACATAATACTAAAATGTTAAATATAGTTTTTATTTCTGGTCTGAAATTCAAATGATCCTCCTGCATTTGAACAGAGTATGACATGAAGAGGCTGTATATGTCTGACATACACTGAAGTGTCAAGACTGGGAGTATTGTAAACACAGAACTAAAATATTGATAAGAGCAGTGCTGTCATTACTAGGCAGTTCATCCTGAACTCTGAAGGTTGTGCAAGCTTTAATCTCTGAGACCAGAACTGTGGTGTTTGATGCATGAAACAAGGCTCTACTGTTCATAATCACAGGATGAGCTCTTCTAGTTGACAACTGCTCTGCAAGCCAATTACTGGAGAGCAACCTCATTGTTTTCAGACTGGAGGGGCCAGTAGAGCTTACTGGGTTTGTGCACACTTGCGGAACTACTCATCCAAATAACCAGACGACTTAGTTAATAAAAGACAACTACTATAGCCACTGAAAGAACAATTTACCTTCTTCTGTGTCACAGAAGAACCTAAATTCAAGTATTTCTTGCAAAATTATGCCTCTAGCCCTTTATAATTCTGAGTATCTCTTTGAAGTGCTTCTAAATGGTAGTGGTGTTTTGGATCTGGTAGTCCATGAGACAGAACACTTTTGTCTGTGTTTTATGGGATATACAACAAAGTGGCCATTAGCTCTCTGGGAGTTGGTGGCAAGCTAAGAATTAAGTAATGACTCCTAAAGCAACAGGAGTGACAAACCAGAGTAAAGAATTGGTGCCAGCTGTTGTGATGTGTCTGAATTACTTGGACAACTTCAAAGTTGAAGTTAACAGATGATTGGCTTTAATTAACACTGATGAAAAAGCAGGACTGGTGCTTGGGGAGCACTGCCAGACTTTCTGACTCTCCTGGGAAGAAGTGCTGACCAAGTGTCCTTTTTCCTGGTGTTACCGATGTCTCAGACCTCCAGCAGCAAGCTGGTTGAGTGACAGCTCCAACAAGCCTGGACAAACTTGCAGTGTACATGTGAGATGCTGGTTTGTGGTGCTCTGGCCTTCATGAATAATGTAGTCTTTTCTTTTGTAGTTCTTCTTCTTCCTTTTTGTGATTTTTGCCCTTGAAATTGCGGCTGGGATCTGGGGATTTTCAAATAAAGAAAAGGTAGGTTGCTCTTAACAGTTGGGAGTGGTGGGATGCTGGAACAGGTTTGGCAGAGAAGCTGTGGCTGCCCCATCCCTGGCAGTGTCCAAGGCCAGATTGGATGGGGCTCTGAACAGCCTGGTCTAGTGGAAGGTGTCCTTGCCTGGGGCAGGATTTAGGTGATCCTGAAAGTGCCCTTCTGACCCCAAACACTCCATGATTCTATGGGTCTGCCCACAGTCAGCAGGGCAGTACCTGAGCAGCTGCAAGCAGACAGTACTTGACCACTGCAACTCAAATCCTTGTTATCCAGGGAATTTGGAGAAGAAAAAGGCTGATTCAAGCAAAACAACATAAAAATCTAACCAATATTTAGAAATGAGACTGTAGCAGGGAAGTGAGAATCCTGGAGGCTATTGCATGGTAGAGGTGCCTTCCAGACAGTACCTGGCTGAGCTGTGAGGTGAAGTAGGCAGGCTGGGAAGCTTTATTTCCAGAGAGGAGCTGGGTCAGCTGACAGGTGAGTGTTCCTGCACCTGAAGCATGACTGCTATGGACTGTCCTTCCAAAGCAGTCAAGATTGTCTTGTTTCAAAATCAGATGCTTGGTGACCAGGGTTGCTTTTCTGCTCATATTGTATTATACAGTGGGGAAATATAGAAACTTCTGGGGTACAGTAGAATAGGATTTATTTTTGGGCAGCCAGTGGGCAAAGACTTGGTTCTCTCACTCTTCTTAGAAGTTCAGAGATTTGGAAGGGGAAACAGTGTTACCTGTTTAGGTGTGGCTATTAAAGCGAGTGTACAGTTATTTCTCACCTGAAACAGGTGAGCCTTCTGTCCATCCTCTATTTGTACATGGCAGAAGAATGGGGTATTGTAGGCTGCAGGATTTTTGATGACTGACTTGCTGGAAGCAAGTTTTTTGTAATTAATACAAGGTATGATACTAATACACCATTAATAAACAACTCTTTGCTTTTCCTTAGATCATTGATGAGTTAAAGGAGTTCTACATGGACACCTACAGAAGAAGAACTCAGACAAGTGCCAGAGACACCCTGAAAGCACTTCAGTTCACTGTAAGTATATGGTTCTGCTTAACCTGGACAGTAATGCAGCTGCTCCTTACACTGTTCTCCATGCCACCCAGTCCCCTGTACAAGTCTCTTACTAGTTAGAAGAAACCAAAGATTGTAGAGATGTTGTAGTGCAGTATAAATTAATTCAGGATGACTTTTTTGTCCATCTGAAGTGTCTAGGATGAGTTCTTGTTTTTCTAGCATTCAGCAGTAGGCTAGGAAACTCTGGATCTGTGCTGCTGAGTTACTGGCACCCTAGTATGCACACCTGGATATCTGTGAGGGGTTCAGCTTTGTGTCTGTAAGGAGCATAGGCTGTCACCAAGATGATTTTCTGTACTTAGAGAGCTAGCTCTTCCTTTCAGAACCTTGTCCTTTAATTGAATAAAAGCTTGTTAAAATTAGGTTTATAGCAGTCATGTTGACAGTATTTAGTCTTTAATAAAAACTAATGTAAATTTTTTTGTTGTTTATTTGGGTGGTTTTGTTTATTTTTTTTGTCTGGTTTTTTTTTGTAGATTACTAAGCAAAAATAAGGATTATTTAACCTGGGTCTCTTTTTGTGTTTTCTGTTGTAGCTAAACTGCTGTGGCCTTACTGGAGCAGTGGAACAGCAGTACATGGATACCTGTCCAGCAAAGACACTGTCTGAGTCATTCTCTATGAAGGTAAAGTTTGACTTAATTCACTCTCAGCTCTGCCCAGTGGGTAGAGCAAGAAACACACTTTAGGAAACCCTCCCAGTCTGTGGGAAAACCCTGTGTCACACTGGCGTGGTAATCTGTGTCTGTGATCAGGCTGGTTGTGGAAAACAAACTTGCTGTTACCATGGAAAGAACAAGCAGGAAGTCTGACATGACAGCTCAGGAAACGTGCTGTCTGTGTGTCACAGACTCACTGGTGGGATGGGCAGTGGAACATCAAAACTTTGCCTAGGAAAAAAGCCCTCACAGTTCCTTGAGAGCTGTGTTCTCCTCACTGCATCTTCCTGGTGCTTGCTGGGAGCTGTCACCTCCCTCCTGGTTAGGGAGAAGTGGAGCTTGGAGTGGGAGCAAGTCTGAAGCTTCAGCAAGGACTGGGTAAGGAGTAGTAAGGCACTGATAGTCTGTTCAGGTGAGTTTGTGATAGTGAAGGCAATTTTCTGAATCAGATTTCCCTATTGGAATATCTCTGCAGATGTGCCTGTATGCTACAAATAACAGGAGAAAATAGCTTGTGTAGTTTTTAACCATCCCTCTTCCCCTTTTCCTTACAACCATCCTGTGCTCTTGCTTTATGCTCCAAGACCATTTGTATGAGTCCTTCTATGGTTCCTACCATACAGGAATTCAATTAATGACTTGGGTTTTTTCACTTTAATTGACAATTTCACATATCTGCTCACATGAGACCCCTCAGTCTGTGTCCTTAGTCCTGTCCATGCAATTTTAGCTGGAGTGTGTGGGAGTAGCTGAGACTGCATACAGGTTTTGTTTGTTTTTATTCTGCTGTGTGTTTTAGCTTAATCTGTTGACTTCGTTTTGTGATGCCTATTCCCAGTTGTAGAAAAACAGGGGATAGAGACTGCAAGATCAAAGGGATGGAATGGAGTGTGCCTCTAAGAAGCAGTGCTGTGTTGGTATTCTGATGAACTGACTTGTTCTTGCCAGCATATCCCTTTAATCCTAGATTCAGTCTTGTCTTTCTAGACTGGATAAGGAACAACAGAAAAGAGTATCTTTCAGCAGCTCACTGATGTTTGCTGCTGGAATAAGCATTACAGAAGCTGGGATATAAAAGTCACTTACACAAGGCACCAAATGTAAAAATCTCTGGGTTCAGTTCTTTTCCCCAAGATTGGGATTGACAAGCAGAGAGACGGTCTTTGCCTTCAGACTTAGGATGTTTATTTTACCTTATCTGTATTACATTTTTACATCTGCATACTAACCTAACAAGCTACAAATGGCGACCTTGGGCTCTGTCCACAAGGTCTTTTAAGCATAAACTATCCAATTATCAAATGCCAACAAATTTATTTTGACTTTTAACCCAATGACCAAACACCCATGTTCTGCACTGCATACTTCTCCATCCAATCACACAAAATTACTAAAATTCATGAAGGTGAAAGAACAAGGCAGGTTAATGCCCTAAAACCTCCATCTTGTTGCATATGTACTACTATATCTGAAAACTTTAAGGTCTAAATTTTCCACCAAGTGATATGCTTAAACTGCATACTCGCAGTTTCAGTTCTAACTATATTATCTCTTAATTTTGGAAGCCTTTCCTATGGCCTCAGGTCAAACGCAGTGTTCTTTTGTGAGTCTGCACCTGTTCAGCACAGAAAGCATGAAATTCTGTGTCCAGGGTTCCAACAGGATGAGACTTTGACCAGCTACCAGGCTCTTAAAGATTTATACCTCTGTAAAAGTGCCTTGTTCTTTTTATTGGCCAACATGTGTCTGTTCTGGGGAAAGGATTATACTTACTTTTTTTTTTCCCCCATTGCATGGGTAATTCATTGTCCTGGGAACGTTAAACTGGCCTTCTGTGAATCTGCCCCTGGTGTGAATCCTAACCTAGGATATCCTGCCATTCCCATGCACTGTTGGGTTCATGAGGTGTCTGCAAAATTACAGTACCAATTAGAAATATCAAGAGTGGTTAGATCCCTTTTGATAAGGGATGAGCTATGCATCATCTGAAGTGCTGGAAGCCATTAGTAACAAGCCAAGGCTGATAAAACTGCATGTTCAGATTAAGAGGAGAATCCTGCTGTAGTCAAGGTGCTGTTAGCAGGTTGAGATACTTGGAGAGTAGATTTAAATTTCTTCAACTCCTGTGTAGGACCATCCCTGTCTCTCTTTAAGGATGTGACAGTAAAGGCTGGATTAAAGCAGCTTTTTAAAGAGAATCTTCAAATGAACCTTGTGTGTGTAAAACACTAATGAACCATCTGTTCTGTTTCAGCCCTGCCCTGATGCCATTGATTATGTCTTCAAATCCAAATTCAATGTCATTGGAGCAGTTGGCCTTGGAATTGCTGTAATGATGGTGAGTTTCAAGATTATTTAGAGGGTGCTCAGAGGATATGCAGAGCAGAAGTCTTGGAGAAAAGTGCCTGGCCCAGCAGCCCACAAGGCCATTCCACTGAAGACAAGTCCCAGCAGGATTAGGGTGTGTGCTGCAGGACTACCTGAGGCAGTGCAGAGGATGGGATGTCTCAAGCCTCCCACTTCTGCTTTGGATTCGGATCTGCCTCCTTGCACTTTTAGAAGCGGTGAAATCTTACCAGTGATGTGTGTATATGTAGAGTGAAGATGTGTTGGTCATGTTGCTGGCCCGCATCTTAATCCTAATATCTCTTGGGGATTCTTCTTCTCTTTCCTTTATAACAATTACAGGCTTTGCCAGAGGGCTGAAATAACAGAGCTTCTAAAAAAACTTGTGCTTCTGTTTGACTTCTCTGGAGAAAAGCACATTCTAGAGAAATCAAAGATTCTTCAGGAGATACAGCAGTGGTTTATAGCTGCTGGTGCTGTGCAGGGCCAAAAGCTGGACTTGAAGATCCTTGTTGGTCCCTTCCAGTTTGACATAGTAATTGAAAACAGATCACAGAATGAGATGAATGGGATTCCTGGGAATGAACTTTGGGGACTATGGGGTGGGGATAGCAGAATAAAGTGTAAAAGTACAGAATAAATGTGATCTTTGGGCTGGGAAGAGAAGCTTGCCCTCATGCTTATAAAAGCGCATGCTTTTATAATTTCTAAACCATATTAGATTAGAAATAACTGATTTCTAATCTGTTTGCTTTCTTTCCAGATTGTTGGCATGATATTCAGTATGGTTCTGTGCTGTGCCATCCGCAGAGAAAGAGAGATGGTCTAAGAGCTGCAAACCCAAGATTCCTGCACTATAAAAATCCTCACCATTAACTTTCGCGTTCTGAGAGCATTTCTAAAACGTTATATATTTGTTACCTTTTTAATGCTTTATTTGGTACTGATGTAGGTTTGCTTTTTATGTTACAGGTTAAAAATATAAAGGTTTATCTGACTCAAGACAAACATTGTACATAAAATATCTGACTTTCTTGAAACTTACATAATTTGGATGTAATTTATGTTGGAGACAATTTGATATTTAATAAAGAGTAAGGTGTATTGTTTGTGGGGTAGAGGAGATGTTGCTATGTTGATTAATCCCACTCTTGTTATGCAACTTCAGCTCTTTGCTATGCATCAATGTTAAGTGTTTTTGGGATAAAGCAGGAATTTACTCCTTTGCCAATGCCCCATGTTGGAACAGAAGGGGAGATGCTGGCAGAGTGTGTCAGGAAGGTGTGGTCATTCCTCTTTCCTTGGTGTGTGTGAACAAAAGCAGGTCTTAAGTACATTCCTAAAATGTCACTGCTGTGACACTTCTACTGTCACCCTCCCTGGAGGGTGGCAAAGGCTGGCTGTCACACAGGTGCTGTACAGGCAGTGGTAGCTCGATGCAGCCAGGCTGGGCTCTGCCTTAGGGCCACCTGGGCTTCCTAACATCAGCCTGACACATCTGACAGGTGCTGCCACATCTGTCCCCTGGTGCCTGGCATGGCCTTGGGCCCTTGGCAGGGCTCATTACCTAGTGTATGCTCAGGATTTTTTCACTGGCTGGCCTGGGGCTTTGTTTCCCCAAAGCCAGCGAGGTGCAGTGTCAAGGGCTTACAACGTGTGTGCCAAATCTCAGGTTTCCAAGCGGAATAAATGCAAGTTGCATGAGCAGTTAAGCATCCAGCTCTGCAATTGCAGGGTTGAGGCTGTCCTGTTTCAGTTTAAATATGGGTATGGGAGAAAGCAGAGATACCAGTGTGTATTCCTTTGCCTAAAGAATTACCAAGTTATCCAGTGTTTCTACTCTAAATGGCTTTTAAGTGGTTTTTTTTGTTTCTAAAATGCTTCCTGGTGGGGGTGCCTATGGACTTACCAGCAGGTTGATGTGCTGTACCTGGTGCTCGCTTACTGTACAATCTCATCTGTGTTCTTGGAAGCTTCTGGTCGCTGTCTGGTAATACAAATGCCTGAGTGGTCCTTGCTTGTTTGCCTTTCTCCTGCATGGAGATTGGTATTTATTACAAGAAATACCAGAGTAGGTGGGTGTCAGGCTCTGCTGATGCATGAATGTATTGTCATCTTTGTGTTACTCACTGTCCCTTCCCTAAGGGAACCATGCTGCTCTCTGTAACGCGTTACACTGTTCTGTGTTCATGGGCCTTCTTTAAAAAAAAAAAAAAGTCAAGTGGTAATCATGCTTTTGTGTGTTTTGCAGAGACTGAAATGACTCCAGAAAGTAGTTGATCTAATGTTCTTTTGTGGCTCAGTGTGACAGTCTGGAGGGAAAAATATCTCATGGGAATTTGAAAGCAGCCATGTCCCCACTGAGCTCTTGCAGAACTGAGAAGCAGCATTTTTGTCAGCTGGGTAATTCTGGGCATGAGCATGAACCTGGCTCCTGGAAGAGCTGCACTGAACCACTGTCAACCATCAGGAAAGTTCACTGCTAACTTCTTTTGCTTCTTGTTCACAAACTCATTTGGGTTGGAAAAGACCTTCAAGATCATAGAGACCAACCTTTGATCAATAGCCCCCTTGTCAACCACACCAGAGCACTGATTGCCATGTGCAGTTGTTCCTTGGATGCCTCTGGGCATGGGAACACCACATACTCCCTGGACAGGCTCTTCCAGTGAATAATCACCTTTTCAGTCAGCTGCCTCCTGATACCCAACCTGAACCTCCCCTGGCACAGCTTGAGGCTGTTTCCTCTTGTTCTGTCCCTTGTTCCCTTCGAGCAGAGCCCAACCCCCCCCCAGCTGTCCAGGAGTTGTGCAGAGCCGGAAGGTTCCCCCTGAGTCTCCTTTTCTCCAGGCTGAGCCTCCCCAGCTCCCTCTGCTGCTCCTCCTCAGATTTGTGCTCCAGACCATTCCCTAACTCTTTTGCCTTTCCCTGGACACACTCCAGCACTCCAATATTTTTATTGAACTGAGGGTCCTGAGTTGGATGTGGGATTTGAGATGCCAAGTACAGAGGGAAAATCACTGCCCTGGTCTTCCTGGCCATACTTGATGTGGTGCATGTGTTCAGATTGCCAACATCTGCTGTGTCTGTAGTCCAGCAGCTTTTGGCAGAGTCCAACAAATTCCAGCAGGTTGTAACTAGGGGGAGAACTTGGCTGTAAGCTCAGCACCCCAGATCATGAGGTTTGGGCAGTGGCTGCAGTGGCAGCTCTTGAGCTGGCATCCAGTTCAGCTGAAGATCCAGAAGTGAATATGTGCCCCTGTTCAGAAGCTGGAGAGGCCTTTCCTGGGATTAAGTCTTTGGCTTGCCTGGCTGCTGCCTTCCCCATAGTGTTTATGCCACACTCTGCCTCTGTGATACCCACCCTCAATCCACATGTGGTTTTTTAAGCACTACAGCCCAATATTTTACCCTTCTTTTGAATATTTTCTGCGTGGGGTTGGTGTTTTCTGAGGAGTCAACAGATGGGCAAGTCTTGCTTTACCTGAGAGGGAAGAGCTGATCTTTATTATTTAAGTATTTCTTTCCTTTTAGCAAGAATGTGGACTACAGATGGAAAACCTGGTTGCACTCAGCCTCAGACCTGTGGGCTAGTCTGGAATGAGTACTACTTCAGTAGTGAATATTGACGGGTTACATGTCAAGTTTCACCTTACTGCAAACAGTTGTGATGAAATTTCCTGAAGAATTGGGTTCTAAGGAATGGCAGCTCTAGAAATCTTGAGTGTGTGGCACTGACTCTCTGAGCAGGGAGCAAGTTCCTGTCTTTGAGTTAGATCAGGAATAGAATGTTAGTTGTGAGGTTAATACAGAGAAGCAAAAGGCGTAACAATAGATTGTTCTGGAAATCAGGAATGGGGATTACAATACTGAAGGGGAAATGGTGCTTAGGACAACGTCAGAGCTGTGGTAGAAGTGACTGACACTGGTGAAATACTGGAGGAGGGAGGGAGGGAGAGAAGGATCCCTCTGAGGAATATGTCTGCCCAGATTCAGAGGGTCAGCAGAGAAGCAAATATTGATGCTGGGAAAAAAAGGAGCAGGGAAAAATTATTCTGGAGATGACGTGTCTGTTGGGAGGAAAAGATAGGATGGAGAAAAACATGACATAGAAAATATGAAGTAAAAGTTTTACTTTTGTATCTGTCCCCATCAGTAAACAAAGGTGCAGCTATGTTAAGACCTTAAAGCCTCCCTGGAATGTGAGAAACCACTCCAGAAAGAAAAAGGGCTTAAGCAGCTTTGTTTCCAAACAAAAGCAGATTTCTTCTTTACACACAGGTGCTGCTAATTCTTTGTTGTAAATTTGCTTAAAGTAGGTATGGTTTGTGTCCACATGTGACACTATATATTACATTTTCTATGGATTTGCTTGTGGGTAACAAATAGCTATAGGATCTGAGCAATTCTGGTCTAGATATTTTCTTGGATTTGAATGGTAGAAGAGATGCTAACTGTTAAGTCCTGTCAAGGACTAACATAAAACACTGTAAGACTGTTAATTCATAAAATCACAGAATGGTTTGGATTGGAAGGGACCCTTAAACATCATCTCCTTACATCCACCCTTCCACTAGCCCAGGTTCCTCAGAGCCCCATCCAACCTGGCCTTGGACACTTCCAGGGATGGGAATTGCTCCATGGGTGCTGTCAGCTGTACCCCTTGGCTGCTGCAAGGAAAATAAGGACAGATAAAGACAAAAGACTAAAGGATGTGACTATTTGTTGTTACAGAGCACCATGCAGAATATGGGAATTTCTACTGGGAGACAGCCTGTTAAGAGTTTAAGAAAATAAATGTTTGCTAAGGGGAAGGATGTAGCAGTGAAGTCCTCAGGAAGTCTGTATTCAGTTATCCAGAAGGTAATTTTGCCAGAAGAAAGATTTTTAGACTTACTTTGGAAAACTGGAGCTAGCCTGCCTCAGGAATGGAGGGAATCTCCAGCTAGCTGCATGATCAGCTCTGTGGGAAGGTGTATCAGGGCAGGGAGAGCCTGGTTTTGCAGTGGACAGAGTTTATTGCTGGGAAACATCTTTCTCCTTTACAATGGAACTGGGAATGTCATCTGTGGTACAGCATGCTGTCATTTTAGAGCAACCCTGACACATGAGCACCATAATTTGTGTACAAGGAAAAAATTACAGTAAGCCCATGAAATGGGGAAAGGGTGTGGGATGCAGCTGGCTACAGTGGAAAGAGAGGGGTGGGCCTGACACATTGGGATGGTTGGAATAAATTCTATCCTCTTGTACACTTCAAAAACTTAAATCCCTATGTTTCAGCGATTAACAGTCTTACTCATCAGGGTGTAGAGATGTGTTGCAGAAGGGGAGGATGTCATTACCTGCAGGGTGATTTCCAAAAGAGCTCCTAAAGAAAAGCTTGGATTTATATGACACGCTCTCTAAGTCATGACTATACTGCTCCCTCTCTACCCACCAAGAGAAAAGAACAAGTGCTTGCAGACAGTTTTTTTGGAACTCTCTGTGCCTCTCCACTATTTTTCTTCAGATGAATTTCCAAGCCCAAGCAAGCCTTGCAGAAGCTAGGCTCAGAGCAATTGTCCTGGAGGGAGAAAAAAAGCAGTGGGGCCTAAAATAGCAGTGATAAGTATGAGTCAGATGCTTTTTCTATGGGGGGTGTGCCATGAAGTTCAGGCTGAGCCCTGCCCTCTTCTCTTGCAGGCACTTGCAAGTCTCTGCAGGGAGCTGCCCAGCTAGCCTCCATCTGCAGGCTGTGATTAACGCACTGCCAAGGCTCCCTCTGACTGCTCCAGCATCTTTTTCATCCTGAACTGCCTGAGAGAGATCTGGGAGTCCTATAAGGGATGTCCCAGGGGGACCAGTGCCTGCTGTCCCTGGGTGAGAGATGCTGTTCCAGCCACAGAGCGCAAGCACAGCCCAAGCTGGGGTTTGTTGGGTTTCTATGTTTAGGGGATGGTTTATGCTTATGGCCACTGTATAATTATGATTATAAAATAGCCACTTCTTCAGTTTCTGCCTCTTGGCAGCTCTCAGGAAATGACCTAATTTGAACTGCCAGCAGTGAGCACCTTGAACCCTATCAAGTCACTTTTAACTGAACCTAGAACCTGAAGACATTTGCCAGCACTGCTGGCTATG